GCGGTCGCCGCCATGTCTATGTCTCTGTTTTTTGCATCGAGTTTGCCAAAAAAAAAAAAAGAAAAACTATTTATTTACTCGCATTACTCAGAGCATTTCTTTGGGGTACCACGAATTTTTGATTGAGTTTATTTTGTAATAAGTGCAAATAAAAACAGCAATGTAATTTCTTCTTACCGTTCGCTCGTTTACTCACACATATCTACCATCTACTGTCAGCCTCTATTTCACTCTCTTCTCTACTATTAGAAGAACAAAGTATCAAGTTTATCTCATTGTCTCTATCCGTCCTTTTCATATAAATATACACCATAATAAATATATGCCATAACATGTCTATCTGTCGACTTTTCCCAGGATTTGTATATGTATATATAAATCTTTAATTTCTCTATCTCTCTCTCTCTCTCTCTCTCTCTCTCTGTCTTCCTCAAATACATACATATATCATCTCTTTCCTTCCTTTTCTTTTAGTTTACTTAACTTGAGAGAAAGATACTCAAGTCAGTCTCTTTTTCATTCATTATATACACATATTAACCTCTCTTTCTGTCTCTGCATCTCTCTCAAACTCTCGTAACATATTCTGATTTCTTTTTTTTTTTCTTATTAATCTAATGAGATCATTATTTACGTATAGGAATATTTCTCTCTACTTTACAATACATCTACCATAATATTTTCATTTGACTTTTCTTTGTTTTTGCATTAAAATAAAATTTCTCCATAAAAAACAGAATATAGCATTTGTATCATCTATACCATAATATAATACTTTATCATTCAGATCTTGACAAAAAGCCCATGAACAAAGCGGATATTAATAAATTTCAATGAATTTTACATATTGTAAATGTTTTTATTCTTCCGTTTTCAATTTCAACTGCTCCTCGTTCAAGTAATATTCATAAAAATATTTTAGAGTATTTTAACTTCGATTTGTTTCACTATTGGCATTTGCATTTTGTTTACTTTTGCTAGCAGCTTTTTAGATTTTTTTATTTTTTATTTTTCGCATTGGCCGTTCGTCTATTTCGAGCAAAAAATTTCTTGGCAACGTTTGTTGGGCTGGTTTCTTTTCTTTTCTGTGGCCCAGCTGTTAGCCGGCTGTCGGCTATATATTTGCTTTACTCGTACTCTCCGAGTCCGAATCTGAATCTGAATTGAGTTTTACCTTTGGCTGCGCAGCAATTTGTCTAGAGTTTGAGCTAATAAATTTGCTCCTGCTCAACGGAACAAGACCCGCTCAATTTGTCGATAGAGAATTTTAAGGCCTGATTGCATGATTGCATGATTTTTCGCATTCGAGTTGACTTTGAGTTGGGGAAAAGTGAATAGCGCGTCTCGCGTCTGGCATCTGACAAAGTGCAAATCATGGTGCCCACAATTTTCACACGTCTGAAAAGAAATGGATCCAATGCATCTATGACAGACTTTTAGATTGTGTAAACAAATACATGACCCGCAGTTAATGCGGGGGCAGGCACCGAGGCAGGGGCAGCGGCAGGGGCAGATGCAAAGGGGGGCAGCGATAGCGACACTTCCACTTTCACTAATTGACAATTCTGTAGCTCAATCGGAAAAACAAAAACCGCAGACAAACAGCTTGGAACGTGCTTTCAATGGAACAACACGCACTACAAATGCAAACATAGATATATAGATAAAAGAGAGCAATAGAAAGACAGACAGACAGAGAGAGAGTGAGAGAGAGAGAGACGTACGGAAAGAGCTGCACTTGACGCCCCCACAAAAACAAAACTGGGTTAAGCGTCAGCCTTATCGATATGTGTATGTCGTTTAAGAGATTACAAATAAACAAATCGAGAGTCGAGTGATCAATGAAGTCTTGAAGTGTTGCTAACTCGTATTCAGAAATGAAACTAATAATAAATGTAAGTTGAAAAATATCTCAGCAATAAATTATATATAAATCAGATATAATCATTTATTCGTAAACTAATAAAAATATAAAATTTGCATTAAAGAGTATTACTTTATACTAGGGAAATATTGTGGGTTTGTTTTTCATTATTTATATTTTATTTCAAAAAAAAAAATATTTCAAGTACCTCTGTAAAATATTATGGTATGTATCTCATATATCAGATCGGGTATATACATGTTTTTATTGAACAAATTCTTAGAACTCCTCAGATCTTAATATTCTAGATTCCTGTTTTCCCACACACTTTAACTGCAATTGGAGCCCGGCCTGTGATTGAGCGTATGACAAGTTTACTAAGGCACAGAGAAACATTCCTCTGAAATACACATACGTATCACACACACACACAGCCGTCCGAAAGCAATTTTCGAAGCAATCTGTCGATTGATCGAGCCGGGATCAATGCCAAAGCTGGCGCTGAACCTGATGCTAAAGCTGATGCTGTTTCGGCTGATGCTGATGCTGATGCAAGCGTGACTAATGCATAAGAGCATGTCAAACAATTAGGGGAAACTCATTAATCAAAATGTAAGTCGGAGATCGTACAAAACGCCCAATAAACATACGCGATACGAGCTGTCAAAAGGAAAAAAAACTTCGAATTAAATATCGTACAAATGAGAAGAGAAACACACAACAAAAATTTCAATAAAAAGTATATAAAAACTTGAGATGAGTGCCGGCAATCATAATAAAAAGAGGAGCAGACTATTTCAAAAGCGATATACTGGAGCTATTCTGTAAATAGAATCGACAAATGCGAAACAAAGTGTGTTCAGAAAAGATTGAGCTGTTGCAGTTAGCAGCCGATGGAATAAAGAGGAACGACGCGTTGTGCAAGCTAAGTTAATGGCGACGCATGCAAAATTTCCGACTGTGGGCGTTGCTACCTATGCTGAACAATAGAGGAGCAGGAATGGTAAGAGTTATGTCATATTGTTCGCTACATTTGTTGTCTATTCAAAAACACTCAAGAGGCGGAGAGCCGAAAACGAAATACCCTTGCATACAAGGAAGCATATTAAATATACGACTCTTGCACTAAGTTTTAACTGCACATAGCATAGTAGTGACTATGCTACTACTAAATTTTTATTGCCCTACTACTACTCTGCTATTACTACAATACTACCCGTCTAGTAATAACAGTTATTGTTATACAACTACTCTGCCTCTACTCTGCCCTATTCTGCCTCTACTCTGCTACTGCTCGAGCACTAGTCTGCCCGTAGTCTGCCTATAGTCTGCCTCTGCTCTGCTACTACTCGCGCTCTACTCTGCCGCTACTCTGGTACTACTCTGCCTCTACTTTACCCCTATTTTGCTACTACTCTGCCTCTACTACTCCACTAGGCTATACTACTACTATTCCTATACCATGGTACAACTGTACTATAGCTCTCGGCTGCTAATAACACTACTACTCTGAGTTCCCACTAATACTTCTACTACTACTAACTACTAAACTGTACTCCTGTTTCTCCTACTACCTGACTACCACTACTCCTCTCCTACTACTCGATTTACTTGAGCGTTACACATTCGCCAACAAAATCGTTATACCCAATGCAAACTTGCACAAAAGCTGAGCAGACTGAACGCATTTTTTGTTGATTGCCTTTGGCTTGACGCAAATGTGACGCCCACAAAAAATAGGGAGGTAGGGTAAGACTAGGAGAAGCGGAACGGGGTGCAGTCAATGTGGCGCAACAATTTTGTGGCTTGGATAGTTTTGCGAGAAAAGGGTTTCCAGACAGATTGACTGGTAGCGTTGAAAGCTGTTGTCCATCAGCTTCCACTGAGCAAAGCTGCAGAGCTGACAGACACACACACAGACACACTCAAAGACACAGACTCGCTGATCGGGTGCCTCACAGCCACTTGACAAGATCATTAATAAGATTTATGCGCTATTAGCCAAAGCAGCCAAAGGCCATAAATAAAATACGAGCAGAACTCCGCGAGCTGTGGACTTCTTGACGAAGAGATCTGAATGAGGCGACAACAAACCCGTTGACAGATGCACGCCCCACTAACTGGCACCAACTGCGACCAGCGCAACCGACTCCATCAGCTACAACAGCAACAACAACAGCAACACACTGAGCCAAATCAATGACACCTAATATGCATAAAAGCTCATTAGAGAGAGGGAGGGGAAGCGAGGCTACTGAGATGAGATCAGCATATCAATAATAACTATAAATAAGTATGACACTTTTTGAGTCAAACAAAGCCCAACAGGTGAACGTCGATTCTGCATTTTCATTCAAAAAAAAGAAGCAATAAAAACATTACCAAAGCAGAGCAATGCTCTTAATTACGCTTAATAAGTTCATAAGCAGGGAGAGAGCGAGAGAGTGAGCAGTCAAACACACAAACTGAGTCATAATTAACGATGAATCACGCACACAAAATGAGAGAGAGAGAGAGAGAGAGAGAGACAAAGAGCGAAGGAGATTTGTGTCCTCCGATGCACTCCACACCCACTCTCAGCGGCGCCGTACATATGCACAAGCATGCTTGCGTTTACACACTGATCCCCCCCCACACACACACACACAACGCACTGATCGAGCCAAGAGAGCCACAGGCAGAGAGAGAGAGCTTGAGCGCGATTGACGCTGCTGCTGCTGTTGCTGCTGCTCTTGCGGCAGCTGCTGCTGCCCTCAGATACAACAGAACCGGCGGCGCGCTCACACCGCAACGATGCGAGTGTCTCCAAGCAAACAGCAAGCAATAAGAGATTTTCGAAAAATTAATAAAGTTCAATAAAAATAAGTTCATTAATATATATTCTACGTATAAAGAAGTGCGCGCAAGTGGAGGGAGAAAAATATTTATAATTATTACAAAAATATCATAGCTAACGAAAAAAATTCAACAGCTCTCATATACATATATACACATGTATATATATGTACATAATTGAAAATACTTAAAGGCAGACAGCAATACGTTTTTTTACACAAAAAAAAAAGTTCTAACAATTTGAGTCGTGTGCCAAAAACAAAAATATTTAGCAAGGTTTTCGATGTTTTAAATACAAATTCTATAAATATATAGAAGAAAAAAAAGCAACAAACAAGAATAAAAATGTATAATTGAGACATTTTGAAATATGTTTTAGCACAGCAACACATAGAGTCACTAAGCGCACCGAAAAAAAATACCGAAACTCAATTCGTAAATTCCATAAAAAAAGGATTGTGTAAAAATTAGTGTAGAATGTGGCAAAGTTTACTGTTGTTTTTGCTCGCGAGCAGCGTATGCGGCGCAGCGCAGCGCAAAGTGGATCATATCAAAGTGCTGTACGAGGACAACGATAGTAGCAAGGAGAGCGATGACGATTACTACAACGATAGCAATAACGATAACAATGGCAATAGCCAACGCGATTCACTTAGCGTCGATATCGATATCGATTATGCTCGACAAAGGCTAATACCCAGCTATTCATCATATCGATCAGCCTCTGCATCCTCGACCACGCCCCCCATCGCCCACTTGCGACGCGTGCCGCGCCACCCATGGGTGTTGCCTCGTTTGGGCAACGATAATCGTCTGGATGCCAGCGCCGCCTTTGATGAGGTGAGTAGAACAAATAGCTACGTGGAATCCATAAAAAACATCATCACGCCTATCTTTATCTGTGCTGCCCTCTTTGTGAGTGTGTCTGAGTGTGCGTGCGTGTGCGTGTGTGTGTGTGTCTGCGTAGGTGTTTGCCTTTGTAGACGGCTAAATATTTGCCAGTACGCAAGACGCAAGACTCAAGACTGGCCAGACGTCCCGTGAGTCACTCTTAAAGTCTTCATTTCATTTCATCTCAAGTGCATATTTCCACCGACTACCGATAAGGAATTCGATAACTATGCCTGTGGAATTCTGTGAATTAATTAATCTATCAATATTGATATTTACATGTTTACATGTGTTTAATATTAGGGCTGATGAAAGGAGAGTTAGCTGAGTGCATAAACTAACAAAATAAAAATCTCTTCATTTTTAATCATTTTTCACATAGATAAATATGTATGTATGTCAGCATATTAATATAAAAATATATACATATGCACATGATTTTCATTCAAAATTTAATTAGAATAGAACCGATTTTCGATATCCAATCCGAAACAGTTTTTAAAATGTCTAGAATTAGCTATAATAAAATATACATATTCTGATCAATAATTCGTTCAAAAGATAATTTTGTCTCACAGGTTATTTTATAATTTCTGCATTTCTCATTTATATAAACCATTAAAACTACACACAAATTTCTTGAGTAACCCACTGAAGGCATCAGTCTCTCGATGATCTGTGCGTTAGAAGTGAATGCCTCACCTTGAACCTCAATCGCTAGCGCGAATGGGCCACTGGATGAGCAGAGATACGAGTGCAGCTAACCCTGAGCCTCCAACAGCGAGACAGAGAGAAAGAATCGTTGTTGATCTTAAGCAGTGATTCCGATAGCCCACCCAGTAGTTGAGGCAGTTACTCAATGCCGCAATTATGAAACGTGTTGCGGTAGCAGCTCCAGCAACAACAAAAGCAGGAGCAGCCAATTTGGTTAACAAGCCAATTTGGCTCGAATGCAGCTCATAAATTGCACGATCGCCTCCTCGAATCTCGATCCTCAATCGGTTTCACTTTCTGGCCTGTAATTGGGCCAAGCGGCCCGACAAAGCAACAGAGCGAGAGCGATAGGGATAGAGAGAGAGAGAACATGAACTCGAATGTGAACCTCAGCTGTGACTGTGGCTTTGAACCTGTCTCTTAATCGCTCGATCGATGACCATTTAGGGCGACGATCTTCACTTTCCGTTATGCTATGCCCTTAATTGACTTGATTGACTTGCACTTGATTGACATGCTGTAAGAGCTGTCGCCCTTTACCACATGCAAAACGAGTTGCCGGGCCAACCAATCAATCAGCTATGATCGGCACTTGAATCATTCAAATCAACTCTGAGCAATTAAATAATCAAGCGGTTTTTTGAACAACGAGGGTTTACAGTAAAGACTTTTTATATCATAATTAAATAAATATTTTTCTGTAGATTTTAAATAATAATTTTTTAAATTAATGTCTACCCGAAAGTCTTATAGGTATGTAATGTGAAAAACAAAACTAAAAAATTTAATTAATTTAGTCATAATAAATTATTGTTTTGTTTGTAGCGCGTATTGAAACAAAAAAGATATTAAAACACAAACTAAAAATAAAAATAAAGTAATGTAATGAATGAATGAAACTTGAGCAAATCGAAAAACAACATACATAATAAATAACTTATGGTTTTCTTATAGCTTTTAATAAGTATATAATATATTGTTGCTTTTTTTACGAATAAACCTCACTCACAGTCTCAAAGCGTAGCTTATCTTATCAGTGAACTTGGGGATTTTTCAGCGAATCGAATTATGAGTGGACTCAGCATCTAAATGGGTGACGAATGTTGAATAGCTTATCGCATTACTCCTCCTATCTGCTAGATGGCCCTATCACTAATGTTAAGTAAGTCTCAAGGCCAGGCAGCTTCAATAAGCCGCAGCATAGAGTCAAATGCAGTCGAGTGGCATTATGAGCTTATGGCTGCACCTGTCAGCCACACGGCTTCAGCAGCCTCCTCCCCTCCGCCCACTATCGTCAGCTTTGCTTGAGCTCCTTTGACTGCTGACCTTTAGCAGGAATTTAATATCGCAGAAGCAGGCGTAGTCGTTGTCGTTGAAGTTGCCCTTGTTGCTGTTTTTGTTGTTGTTGCCCGTAGCTAGTGGTTGTTGCAATATCCTCGTTGGCATTCAATCAGACCACTTGTTTCGTTCTGCCTGCATTATTATTACTGTTTACTTTGCACGCATTCTGTTTGCATAGCAGAGTGCAATAAGAAACAATTCGAAAATGCTGTTGGCAGTGTGTGACTTGGAGGTACCCTATAAAAACTTACTTTGAATCTACATATATAAATATAAATTAAAAAAAAAAAAAATTAAAAAAATTAATAATTATATCCATATATTCAAGCCCAAAATTCAAGTTAACAAAATTAAGCTGGAAGTTATATTTATAATTCATCATCCTGATATAAAAAGAGCTGTGTGAGTACACATACACATATAAGGGAGTTCTTTCGGAACACTTTAACCCCATATCATATTATACAGCCTCGGTCTTTGCAGTTTTCAACCTACAATTAAATCAACTCTATTCCCAAGCTTTTATCAGTTCTTCGCACACATGCAAAACCGACTTTCATTCTCAGGTTACTTTTTGCAGGGTATAAATGAACGATAAAATGAACGAGATGTGTAATGAAACATTTTTAAATATTCCACAACAAATATTCACAACGCAAGCAATACAAAAATTCATTTCGAAATTCTTTAAATTGCACCTCGGAGCTTTTATTATAACTTTGATGCTCAAGGGCCCTATTTGTCAAAGGCTTAATCAGTAGTTGATCTGTAGGTCACACACAGCCTCTACAGTAGCGAATCCGCATCATACAATCTTATTCTGATTCCAATTCCAAAGTGTTTCCCCAGTGGGTCAATAAAAATGCAAATCAATACACAAATGCCAATGCATGTTTAATGTATGCCTAATTAATTAAACTTGTTTAATTTATATACATATTTGCCGTTGCCTCAGTGATCGACGCAACAAATTGTAAATATTATCTAGCTTTGATGCATGAACGGACAGGCAATTAATCTTAAATAGTGCTCAGCAGGCGACTGAGATGAATTTTCAGCCTAACTATAGATAGAAGAAAAAATTCTCAAAGTTTATTAGAATTTTCATAATACAGAGTACTTGAAATACCCCACGATACACAATACAAGAGATTGAAGAGAACATTCTGAGAGCTTACCAAAATTTTTGATACCGCTACTCCGATACGTATATTGAATGCCGTTAAATCGCTTATGATCTAGATTTGAAATGCGTACAATAGGGAATACTCAATATTTATTGGACAAAATATGAAATACAAAAATACATTTAACTCTTGCGTAGCTTGAAATCCTCTAACTATAAATAATCTATATCAAGGCTGCTCTGTTTCTTTACCCAAGCTGCAGTTAGCATGAAATGGCATCGATTGCGGCATCAATTTGTGATCTGGCTGCCCAATTCTAAGCGGAAGACCCCATCTATAGCCACTAATTGTAAGCTCTTAAGCTGGGCCCCAATGTTGCGCCACTTGCTGCTCCTCCTCCGCCTCCAGCTGCTCCTCCTGCTTCGCATCTGTGGGCAATCTTTAAAGTATTACCTTGATTTATTGGCATTATTTATTTACTATTGCGATAGGCGAACGCTGTCCATAAGGCACACTAATGACAGCCCAATCGGCTTATGACATAATAGATATATGTATAATAAATAAATACATACATATATACACATGCGTCTGCGTATATATGTATGGGTATATATCTCTTGATTTATAGGCCAGGCCGAAAATGCGGAAGCCTAAAAAAATGATATGGCAAATCTATAAAATTTCTTTTACCCTCTCACACCATCCCTCTTTCTCTCTCACTCTCACTGTCTTAATGAACGAGGAAAATTCAACAACTAAATAATAAATATTAAAACACAAAAAAGAAAAGTGAAATAGGGGAAGGGAAAAAACTGTCGCACTATAAATTAAATTTGTTTGACTTTAAAAGTTGTTTAGTATTTGAAAAATATATTTTCTTCTATTTTTTTTTTTTTTTTTTTTTTTGCTTCGTCTTTTTTTAGTGGTCTTAATTTAGTGGTCTGAACTGTTTCATTTTGTTTATTTCTGCCGCGTGTTTTGATTGATAGCCAACTTGTTGGCCATTCAAACTGGCCAAGAGTCGCGTAATTAAAAGCGCCCAGAAACAAAGCTAAATTGTCATCAAGAAAATGAATCTTGAATACCCTTTGATTGTGTAAAAAGTGAATATATATATATATATATATATATATGTAGAATATATACAAAATGTTTAATCTACATATTTAAGAGAGATATGTTACATTAAGTTGAACATCCATAACATATGAATGAATGAATATTTGATTTTCATTTATCATAATCTCTGCCTCCGTTCCCAAATGCCTCTCGGAGTTAGGCAACCCGCTTTTAACTCTTCAATCAGAATAAAAATCAAGAAAGCAAATTGCAAAAGTCAATTTGTGCAAAGACCGTTGCCCAACACACACATACACACACACAAACACGCATACACACAATCTCTTATGCAATCTCGATCCCGATCAGCGTGTTGTGTGGGCGTTGCAATTAGAAGAGAGATACGTCATGTTCTGCCACAGCGGCTTCCATGTTCGACGTTCGACGTCTCGACGGGGCAATCACTCAATTCGATCGCAATGCAACTGCATTAGAGTGTATACATATATACAAAAGTATATGTGTGAGTGTGTGTGTATCAGTCCATCAGCTGTGCACTGTGGGGCCACATTTCCGGCATACCCATATGTTGCTGGTTGCTAGTTTGCAGCATGCTGCGGCAACATAGCTTAACAGGCTACTAAGCTCAAACTGTTCTCAAGCAACATTCAATAGGAATCAGTAGCAGCATTCAGCGCAGCAAAA